GTTCTTCAAGAGGGTTGAGAGTAGGAAGAAGGATGGTGGGGTGTTGATGAGTGGGGGGAAGTTACCTGAGGGTGTGGTTGTGGATGTTGAGGCGTGGGAGAAGGAGGTTGGGGATGGGCAGAGGGGGAAGAAGGGTGGGAGGGGCGGTGGGAGAGGAGGAAGAGGTGGTGCAAGAGGTGGTGGTGGTGGGAAGGAAAGGGTGGTAGATGACGCGGGTGATGCGACTGCTGGTGCTTCAGTGTGATCGAGACTGCGAAGGAATCGAAGAGAGGTATCTGTGGTAGGGCGATGAATGATCAAACGACAGAATAGAGAATGTTTGACGTATTTACTGGGTACGAGAAGCCGGGTATTGCTTACCCACTCTAATTTGGGTTACAGAGTCGCCCCCGGCAGCATATCGTTGTAGCGGCCAGGCAGACATTTCACTCAAAAGGTAGTACCATAAAGTTGAATATTGAATCGTGATGTATTGAATCGGGATGTAATCATCGACCGTAGACGAAATTATGAAAAGTATGCAAAGGTATATAACAGAATGCCGCCCATGTACTCATGATTGAACGCCGACCGACCCATGACAAAGGAAAAAAGTATAAACACAAGAAGTGTTAAAAAATTAGAACTTAAAAGCGTCTTTGCGCTGTAAACTTTTTGGACGTATACTCAGATCCACTGATGATTTTGCTTCTCCACGTCGACATTTGTATCGGCGGGAGGCGTTGTTTGTTGCATGGCGAAGTAGTCCCGAGCGACAACGCCCTCGCTTCGTAGCAGAGGGCTGCTGGGACGTGTTGTGCTGACGTGGTGGGGTGGTTGCAGGCCAGGGGAGTGGGCGTGCTCGGGCTCTGTGACGATGGCGTAAGCACCACCACCCGTCTCAACGCGATCCATCGGTGAGACACCGTCGTCGTGGTCGTCGCCTTCATCTATGCTGCCACGTGTACCGATGGTGCGCACCGTCATGCGTCGACCGAGACCACATTCTGGACTGGCTTGTTCTTCCTCAAGACGGATGACGACCTCGACAGCCTTTTCGTCCTCGATAACCTTGGGATGACGCTTGGCGAAGTAGCGGGCGTACTTGTAGAGTGACCAGTAGCAGCTGGCGACGTTGATGACAGTCAAGACCATCTTGTACGGTAGGTAGTACACGTACATGAGCACCCAGCCAACGCGCTCGCCCTTGCGACGGAGATGGACTTCGTTGAAGAGGACGCTGTTGATGAGGTACATGACGACGGTGGCGGCGAGGAGGTAGCCGCAGAACGAAGGGCGGACGTAGAACGAGATTGGTAGGATGAAGGGTGTGAGGAGGTAGAGCAGAGTTTCGTAGACCTGGTGAGACTGTTAGATTTTGATGAGTAAGAAATGGATTGTGAGTTACTAACCTCTTGGAAGACGAAGATCTTTGCGCCAATCTCCCACCAGCCGAGCTTCCAGCTACCGAAGATGTAGGCCATGTTGTAGTACATTCCGTTGACGAAGAAGAAGTTCCAGCGCTTGAAGCGTTGCGAGAAGATGGTCATCTCGCCGAAACCACCACGAGAGCCACCACCGGAGATGAAGACAGCGGTAGGTGTTTCGGTTTCGACGAATACCTGCGAGCACATCTTGATGCGACATCCGAGTTTGCGGGCAACGTGACCGAAGAACCAATCTTCAGAAACACTGAAACCGGGGTGTTCGTGGAAAGTCTTGACGAGGAGTTCGCGGTCCCAGAGGGAGATGGCACCGTGGGGGAAGGTGGCAGAACCAATCTTACCAGCAAACTCGCGCTGGATACCACTGAGCTTGTATTCAAGATCCTGGGCTTGTTGGCAAAGGTTGCCCTTTGACCCGTTTGGTCCGACGGATTTGATGGTGTAGCCAATGCACTGGACCTTGCCGACTAGACGTTCAGTGACAACCGGGAAGTTATCGGGCAGTGCGCAGTCGTCGTCGATGAGCAATACGTTCTTGAAAGCCTTCGCAGCGTAGCAACCGACGAACTGAGCGACAATCTTTGATCCGATGGGCGACCAGATGTGGTTCACGCCGTATGGGCGGCACACTTCTTCCGTGTTGTCGAGAGGTGTAGGGCTGTTACCGTTGGCGATGACGAAGATGTGCGATGGAGGGAAGATCTTCAAAGCGGCCTCGAGTGTGTTGGCGATGAGTCCAGCAGACTTGTAGCAAGGGATCATAAGGCAGGTGTCGGAAACATTGGACTGGATCTTGGTCTCTGTGGTGTAGTCGGCAGGGGGCGGGTCCTTCTCGAAGAGGATGAGCAGAGGAGCGAATGCGTAGCTGGGTTATGTTAGTAAAAGAAGAGGTAGCGATGCAACTGTGTCAACTCACAATAGCGCTATTCCAAGCACGATACCGAAACCACCAGCGATGACAAACTTTGTGGCCACGACCCAGTAGAGCCACCACACAGCACCCTTCCACAGCGGAATTCCGATAAGAACAAAGTAGACGAAGAGTATCAGGAAGAGGTAGATGGCGTACTCGAAGGTGTACTGCACCCACTTCTTTCGCTGAATCTCTTGTCCCTTTTGCTTCGCCTTTTCGTAAGTACCAAACATCTCACTCCTCTTAAAGTAAGATGCATTGGTCATCTTCCGCTGGAGAGCGTTGGGGACCATGGCATCAACAACGGACTCTAGAGTCCCTTTCCGGGGCCGACCACCCTGGTGTGCAGCTTCAGGTTCCTGAGGCAAGGAGGCTGTTGAATTCCGGTAAGAGTTGTTCTGTGTTGCGAAAGGATTGTCTTTGATCGAGTTGGGCCTGGTCGCGAAAGGGTCCTCATTCGACCACTTTGACGACGCAGTCGTAGTCCTGTTGAGAGAGTTGGGCGATGGTGCACGACTGCCCCGAGGACTGAGAGCTAGAACGTCCGTTGACCCGGGGATGTAAGAAAGGGTCCTGAAGGGTCTGATGTTTTCCTCTGTTGGTGATGGTAGTACCCCGCTTTGCTGCGACATTCTTTTGGGACCAGTGTTACTGAACCAAGAGAATCGATTACTCCTCCTGCGTTCGCCCTGCGTCTCTGTGCGTTCGAGATTGGTGGAGCGTTGGGTGCCATTTCGGTGTAAGCCTGAGTCCTGAGTTGGTCGACGACGTATGCTTCCTATGCCGTTGGGATCGAGGAAAGGGTTCTCTGCTTGAGGCTCCCATGTTCCATGTGAGGTATACGTCTTGTCGCGTTTGGATCCAAGGTTACCAGTGGCCCGAAGTAGATGCGCAGGGACAGTGACATCCTGTACGATCTCACTGGACTTTCGTCCATGTGCGTAAGTCATGTCTGCCAATTGATGTTCTGCAGGAGTATCGGAAGGAAGGCCGGAAGGAAGACCGGATGGAGAGGTCATGTTGTATTAACGATGACCAAGATGAAGGTCCCGGGGTAGTTGTGTCTGTGAAATAACGGACGGGGGTACCCCATTAATACTCGGGAGCCATCTCCAGACCTTGTACGATGTCCAACCTCTAGTCGGGTAGTCGGACAGCCACATCGGGCGATCCGACTATGAAATCTCCTCCTATGTGCTATTACCGATCCACATGGTAGGTGTGGGTACAACCCGGCGTCGATCATCATGGAGGGCGGCATGCACGTGTTGGAGGCATGTTGAATGATGCGCCACAAATGCGGTTGACAGTGACGTTTAGAGCGAGGGCTAGATCTGGAAAGTTTCCACGCCACTGAATCGCAACGGAGCCTTACTAGTTCCCGTCTACTTCTACTCCAAGTAGCTCCAGATGGATTTGCGTTTCTGATGACCCTGTTCGGAGCACGGGATTTGACGCCTCAGGCCGTGGATCTGTGGTCGTATTGCATCACTATATGGTTTGGCCGTGTGAGTTTGACCTGTCTTCGAAGGCCATTTTCCGATGTATGATGGAAGGCAAGGAACCCACATTCGTATAAGCGTGGCCAAAGAAATGACCTTCCAGTACCTTTAGGTGGGTTGTAGCATAACCCCTGCAAGTCTCGCCCACGTACCTGTCCATGGACAGAGCAGCTGAAAAGATGGATTCTGACAGCATCGCCGACATGGATAGGGCCCGTGCACTGCCACTGTCTGAGCTAAAACAGTGGGCGCCGTGAATTGGAACGGGTACTAAACGACCTCTTCGGGGTTGACAAGTAGTTCGAGGCGTAGACTGAGGCTGTGGCCAAGAAGTGCCGTCTGGACATGACTCCGAATCTTACTGTGCAGTAGGTCATCTTAGATCGATGGAAGAAAGAGTTTGCATCTCGATACCGGTGCTGCGCGCAATGATATCATAGTCGTTGCGCTGTGGAAGTCGTGTTCGACTTCTACGCCTCGGTCCTTGGCCGTACACATGCATCCTGAACCCGTCCGGAAGCAGCGCCCGAGAAGATTTTCATCTCGCACTCGTAAACACGGTGGACTGGGCCTTCTACTTCCACGGCATCATCCGTGCTGCTGACAACGCAGGCCCCTGCGTTGCAGCCTCGGAGAAAGCTTCACCGCGCTTGCGCAGGTACTCAGGGTAATTGTCGTGTTGTTGAGGCCGAGGACGAAGTAGGCAAGGTGACATGGGAGCCTTGCAGAGAGAGTTCAAGGGTGCTTTGCTATTACGCAACTTTGCAGGGCATCCCGCTGGAAGTCGGCGTTTCTTTTGAACGGTTGGCGCTACTATAGTCTAACATGTCAGTGCCGTTCGGGTACCACAACCTGGGAGGCTTCGAGGCTCACGTTGTGGCGATGCCAAATCATTGTCGCGGGGTCGCAATTTACCCAACTGTTCAGTTGCCAGGAGTTCGTGATCGGGAATCACCAAGAGATGTACGAGTGAGTGTTGCTGACAACTCGACGATGAGGTCCAAATTGCAGAACGCCGTTCCCGCCCGGGCCGCTGCCAAGGCCGGATGTCATTCGTTACGTCAGGCCCGCAACACGAGAGAAGCCTTTGCTGGACGTTTGACCATCTGTTAAGAATAGCCAACTTCAACCCTTGATCCCACCCCACCAATACAACACGAGATGAGTTCCTACGTGTCCCAATACCCGCCGGCTGTTGAGTTCGACCCTGCATACAAGAAATTCTTCGAGGAATTCTACGCTACGTCCGATGCAGCAGAAGCGCATGAGGAATACGTCCAGTACTTCACTAAGGATGCAACCCTCGTCATGGCCTCCAAGAGGGTAGTAGGCCGGGAAGGTTTGTCGCATTGCTTGTTGTTTCCAGCCTTGCGAACGGCTCCCTGGAATTCCATCGCCCTTCCATAATCTACCGGGCTAATTCATGGGCGTAGAGATCTTAGCCCTGCGCAAAAGTATGTGGGAGAAAGTTTCAACGAGAACGCACAAGCCACTCCAAGTGTTTCCGTTCGGTCCGAAGTCAGACGAGGTCATGTTGTACGGGACGGTCAAGTACGGCTTCAAGGCAGGCGGAGAAGCCAGCAAAGATTGGGCTGCAAGGGCGCACCTAGTCAAGGAGGACGGTGGCAAGGTGAAGATGAACTTCTATCAAGTCTACCTGGTGCGACACTCACCTCCTGTTCGCGTTCGTATATGTGGACTTGAAGCTAACCACGATGCTCAGGATACCGGAGCTTAGGATACCGGAGCTTAGACCAGGCAGGTAGATCTTATGTAGATCTACGATCGATTATAGGGGCTTTTCCGGCGCATGCAGTGTTTAAAACAACCGGCATACCGAGGTGACATTCACCGGTGTACTGTGAGCACTACTCCAGTGCTTACTTTGGTACGCTTTCAAACGAAGCGGTCTTCAGGAGAGGCCTCATATTCGGATCGGGCGGCGCAAGTACCGGGTCCACTTCACTCTGAAACACGCGCTGCGGAACCCCTCCGAACTATACAAAATTGTAAAGTGAACTGGAGATTAACGCATGGGCTCTTCTTTACTATGCGGATGTGAGGGCCGCCATCAAGTAGACGATGGATCCCGGCCAGTCAGTTGGTTGTCATAAAACCTTACGATTCACGTTGTCGTACAACCCGACAGCCCAGATGCGAAAGTTCTAGATGACCTGTAGGCATCCCAGCACCGCCTCGTCTCAAAAATATCATGCAAATTATTTCGAGCGCTGCGATGAATCAGGGTCCTGCAGGGCCAAGTGTTGCTTTTTCCAACGTGGTGTTGCCTTGAACGTATTTCAGTTACACGTACATTGGTTCTGCCCCTGGAACTACTGTTACGGAACATAAGAATTGCTTTTTCGTGTTCTTGTCCGTTTCCAAGGCCCTGGATTTTCTTTACGACCTAAGGACCGACCTCAGCCACAAGTACGTCAGCATGGGTGGGAATAGTTTGGTACTGCCGCAGTCTCGGCATGGCAACGCCACTCTGGGCGCAATGCTACGAACGTGGCCCAGATGCATCTAATGGATGGAGTCTCATGTACGAGTGCCGCGTAACGGTCTTCCAGAAGCCAGTCGGAGGCATAAGCAAAGCAGATGGGGCACCTCGTATGGTGCACCTACGCCTCGTATCATCTGCAGCCGGCATACATGCTGGACCTAGACGTGTCTGCAACGACAGGTTTCGCGGCCTCCGCAGCGTCGCCGAAGTGAGAATACCCCTCAATCGCAGCATACTCAAATACAACTCTCGTCCGGTGATGCGACCAGGCCAGGCTCCTTAGCTTTGCTGCTGGATGATGGATGTGGCATTGTAAAGCCTCTTGGTATCGTTCAGTCTCGACTTCCGCCGCGGGGAAGCAAACAGATCGCAGATGCTCGCGTCACTTTCGCCATATGATACCCCTGCTCGTAATCGTATTTGCATTCGTGTTGTATCTTTGCTGACGGGTCGGCCGAAGACGACATCATTGATCTTGTTCTGTGGCTCCGAGGATGTCGCTAAGAATTTCGGGCATCTCGGGCCATAGTTCACCCACCAGCAAGTTTGTTGTCACCAAGCAACGGAACATGATGTAATTGATGACTAGAAGGCTTGAGCTAATAAAGGGGTGAAGCGCATTCATTCACAATCGTCTATGTCAGAATCTGACCATGGAGTGCGGAGTTGCAGGTATGTAAAGTTCGTGGGGCGGGGAAATTGAAAAGTCAAAATTCGCGGACGCAGGCGGCTCCCAGCACAACGCCCCGCATTTGCAAGTACACGGTCATCATAAGATTTAGAACAGCGTGACCCGCATGTGCTCAAGGTATTGTACGATCAAATTCAAGTCTTTTCCATCAACAGGCTACAAACCAGCCCGGCTAGCTCAATCGGTAGAGCGTGAGACTCTTAGTCTTTCACGGTCTAACAGACACGATTACTCAGTACATCTCAAGGTTGTGGGTTCGACCCCCACGTCGGGCTTGAGAAGCTTTCTTTTTGTTCCTGGCGTCGTGGGTGGCAGAATGATGGTCGTGGTGTTGGTGGAATGGACATGGCGATTTTTTTTTGGCAGTGCCCCACCATTCACCATCCTACCACCTTACAATATCACAATACACCCAATCTTTCTGCTACTAGCCCACTCACTGTGGATTTATAGTCTAGAAATATTCTACAACATCATCACCTATACGCACACTCGGCCTCAACCATTTCTCCTCGAAAGTTGCATACAATACCTTAGCAAAGTTCGCTATACAGAGCACACTCTGCAAGAAGAACAACGAACAACTACGTCCTAGAAATATACATTAACCTGAAACTTGGTAAAGGATGGCTTTGATATCTATGTATGCGGCAGCACATCTGTTCAGTCTTGTCTATGGAGTGAGAGCAAGCTACGTCGAACGCAAGTGACTTAGAAACACCCGCAGCAAAGAGCAACAGCATCAAGCTCAGGAAATCAAGAGTTTATAACGGAGTTGAATTCGAAGATAGATCAAATGAGAAGTTATGACCATAAGAATACCTAAAGGCACACAGCTCTCGATACACATACTGCCCAGAATCAGTATCCCAACCCAAACCACCACACCCATCACCATCGCAAACCCATACCCCTCAAATAACCTCTCCAACTACCCCTCACTCTTACCACCCTCACCGCCACCATCTCCTCCCTCTGAACTCATACAACTACTATCGTCCTTCTCCCCCATCAACACCGGAACCGTCAACATCTCGCCCGCAAGAATCAAATTCGGGTCCTGGATGTTATTCGCCTTGACGATGTCGCATATGCCGACTGCGTTCTCGGCTGCGATCTTCTCTAGTGTGTCGCCGGCGGCTATGGTGATTTGTTTGTCGCTGCCGGAGTTGGGGTCTGGAGATGTGGAGGGTGATGGGGTGGGTGGTGTGGAGGCTGTTGCTGAGGCCGAGGTTGGGGCGGGTGGTGGTGATGGAGTTGCAGCTGGTGGTGGTGGTGACATATAGGTGGAGGCGGGTGGTGGTGACGCAGCTGGGGGTGACGCGGACGATGCTGGTGGAGGCCCAGCTGGTGGAGCAACAGAGGCAGAAGCAGATACAGAGGTTACTAGTGTCGTTGGTGCTGGGGCAGGAGGAGCGCCAGAAACGCTGCTGCTATGTTCGCAGCGGCCATGCCTGCGATGGATATGTGGGTGGACTGCAGCGGCTGTGCTTGACAACACGAGGGTCGAGAGCGCGAGAAGGATTACTGAGGTCTTCATGGTTGCTGGTATCGTGGTGCTGACTGAAGTTGAAGGATGTTTCGAGGTGTGGTAGGTGGGTTATGGTGTAGATAAGAAGACCTACCCAGTAGGTTTTATGTGTTTGAGGCTGTGTCTTCCTTGAATGAGCGACGAGGTATATGAACTTGTATGGTCTTCAATAGCACCGCGCCTGTATATGTATTCTAATCGCTTCCCCACGGCCTGAGGCAAGAAACATTTACGTTCGAAAACTTGAACGAACGCTTCATTCATGAATGCGACAACGGCTCCAGAACAATGGAATGAATGATTCCCGTTAACGCTGGCGTCCTGTCATTTCGATTCTACAGTGCAATGGAACGTTTTCTGTCACAGTGTGTTGGTGCTTTGCTGTCACTGTTTCGTAGATCAGGCCTTCTTCCATTCGGCGAAGTCGTGCTGGTTGAACGATACATAACAGTACCATACGTCAGGAGATCTGGCTCTTTCCCAGCTGAGCTTCGCATGTTAGGTGAAGTGAAGTGCAAGACCCATGATATGAAGATATGCGATTTGAAGGTGTCGAAAATCCGCATTGGTGATATGACATCTGCCGACAAGTGAAGCGAGCTGTGATGGCCTGACGTGTAACACCTGTCAGTTGTCAGAGAAGACACGAGCCACGCGTAGCAAAGCATCACCGAGTGTCTAAAACATGAAGGTATCGCAGGAAGACGATGAGAAAAAGGATTCGACTTTCAACGTGTTGTGTGATTAGGATATGCTAGAAGACTGAAATACTGTACAGTGAAAGAACAGAATGCGCTCGCTAAAATGATGCGGTAAACAAGCAATAACCAAAGGTAGCTCCAAGTGAGCTCACGGAGCAGCAAAAACATCGAAGATAACAGAATGTAAACAACAAGTCTTCAAGCGCCCAGCGCGATAAGCCTGCTCTTGATGTCCGTGGGCCTCATCATCTGGTTGATGACAACACTAGAAATACTGCCCATACTGACGACTGACACGTATCCTGGAGCGACTTCGCTGGCCAAAACCTCAACACACTTCATCGCCTCGTCTTTTGAAATCGGTGATCGGATAGAGCCTTGAATTGCTTGCAGCAGAGTGGTTGTAGAGAAGGAAATGCGCGATCCGGGTCTGTTCGCGCACAGTAGGGAAAGAACGCCGATAACTTCTGGAGTGCGTTGTAGAGCTGCCTTTCGCTGAAGTTCGGCGGGGGTCGGCGCTGCGGGGCCAGCCTTTGCAGCTTCTTGCTTTGCGAGAATACGGTCGAGGAGGTTGGTCTTGCGGACGGCAGCAAATTCGGTGATCTTGGGTTGGGCGGGCTGAGCTTGTTGGTTCTGGCCCATGGGCGTCTCGTTCTCCTTTCCAACAGACGGTCTCGTCTTCTTCTGTGCACGGCCTTGCTGTACACTCTCCTTGAACTCCCTCAACCTCTTGCGTCCCTTCTCTTGTGCTGGCGCGAGTGCGGTGAGGGACTCGCATATGGTGACTTCGGCAAGAGGAAGCTGGCTCAAGAACTTGGACATGGAAGTGTCGTCGAGAAACGTGTCCATGCATGCCTGCTTAATATCGGCCTTTTTTGGGCGTCCCCGTCCACGCTTGGGCACCGCGATTGGTCGGCTCATCATCTTCTGCGACGTGCACCATTGCGTCCAAAGCGTGTCTAGGCCTTCTTTGAACATATCCTGCAATCCCTCTTCGTTCATATGCGTCATGCCGTTCATCATCGGACTGCTGTCCTTGATCTCGATGCAGACCTTGCCGCGGCCATAGTCGGACAGGTAGTAGGGGTTGTTGTTGCCGGAAGGGCCATGGTCGAGGATGCCGATGAGGAGTCGGATGTCATCGTACGTGACTTTACGTTGCCGCCAGACCAATGTCGTTGATGCAATTAGGTCTCGAAGATCGGCAGGCGTTGAAGTGCCATTGTGGGCGTAGTGCAGCGACAGCGCGGTCAGAAAGGAAGAGTGTAACGCGAGGAGGTTGACAAGCTCGGCCGGGAGCTGACCGGGA